CCATACATTAGAAGTACAAACATAGGCATAATTTTTCGATTAGACTATACATAGTTTATGTATCTATTAGTATACGACTAAGGTAATAAATGGGTCTTTTGACATCACTATCAACCTCTTGGGCTAACATGCTTCCTATTGTCAAGTAAGATGCAACTATATATAATCTCATATTTATGTTTCTACTAGGAGGAAATAAAATATGAGGCTTTGTCAAATATTCTTTGATTGCGTCAAAAGCCTCTTGCTACTCTTTTCCCTAGTGAAAATCACTTTCTTTTTTTATCTTGAGTAACAACGAGAAAACCTTCATCTTACCATCAAGCATCAAGCATACTTAAGTATTCGAAACCTATGGTTGAATCGACTAGCATTTCTGCCAGTGGCATCAAATACTCATCTTTAGGAGTTGCGTTATTTAAATCTCTAAAATCTATACAAACTCGAAGAGTTCCATTTTTCTTAATGACAAGAACAATATTCACTAACCATTCGACGTACCTTGCAATTATGATGAACTTGCTTTTGAGCAGTCTTTTGATCTCTTGCTTAATCTTCAATGTGATTTATGGGGAGAATCTTTGAGGATGTTGCTTAACTGGCTTCTTCCCTGGTAAGATGGGAAAGCAATGTTCCATCATGCTTCGACTTAAACCAGACATTTCACCATAGTCCCAAGCAAAACAATCTCTGAATTCTTTCAACAACTTAACCTTTATTTCTGACCCAATTTTTGTACCGATGTAAGTTGGTCTCCTCGTTATTCCATCTCCTATACCTACTTATTCCAAAGGGTCTTGGGCTTGCATTTTCTACACTGAATTTAACGGGTCTTTTTCGAACCCCAAAGACCCATTGTCATAAATACAATCTAGCCTTCGGCTTTCTGAAGTTGATGTTTGGCCATATTGGCCATCTTGATTTTTTATTTTAGCTTCGATAGCCAAATTTTGCAACCTTTCAGCCTTTAAAGCCAATTTTATTTTGTTTTCAGCCAGATAGGCCAAAATTCGAGCCAGACTTTCTGACTCACTGGTCATTTTCTTTGACCACAGGCCACCCCGTAGGTGGATTCAACTCCCTAAGCACCATTTCTTCTTTAGTGTCCCAGATGAATCCATAGCCAGGATCCAAACTTAGAATACGATTTGCATTTTCTTTAGGAGTGTAAACTTCATCATCACAAGGCGCCATATTTGCCAAGTTTTAGTCGAAAGACTTCTTTCAACCTTTATTCTCATCAATTTTGTAATAACTTTGGTCTGCCTCGATGTTTTCGACGATGCCATCTTTTCTCCAAATGGATATCCTTTGGTGCAGGGTTGATGGTACTTCACATATTCTATGAATCCATTCACGTCCAAGTAATATATTGAATTTTTCCTTGGAATTAATCACCATGAACAATGTTGATATTGTGGTTGTACTGACAACCAATTCGACCTGGATAACGCCCAATATGCTACTGGTTTTTCCCTCATACTTGGATAAAACCATGTTGTATGGTCGAAGATCTGTACCACACCTCCCCATTTTCTTGAATAAATCATGGGGCATCAAATTCACAATTGTCCCCATTGACAAACACTTTATTCATTGGCATACCATCCACTTTTCCCTGATGAATAACGGTTTAAGGTGGTACAATATTCCCGGGCTTGGTTTTTCAAACACATCTTTCTGTTCCTCCACCACACCACTATTCATCAAATAGTAACATAATTTTTTTTCATCAACCGCTTCATATGGCACATAATCCTCCTCATTTTCATCTACCTTTGACACTCTGTCGTACTCCGCATGTAATACTGACACAATGCCATAGTTAATGATGAAGTCTTTACCATAGTCATCGTCAACCATTTCATCTTCAGGAAGAGGATCATATTCATCTTCCTCGTCTTAAGGCAGAGGATCATATTCATCTTCCTTTTCATCTTCAGGCATGGTAGTATATTCATCTTCCTTTTCATCTTCAGGAATGATAGTATATTCTGCACTTTATGTTGCCACTGCCTCTATATTCCCTAAAGGTGATACTCTCATATCCAACCTTTAATTTTCTATGAGCTTTTCTTTTTCGCCTAGTCTGCCTTTTGGATAATACCTTTTCTGAGTTAGAGCTTCGATAAAGTTCACAACTTCTACAAATTTATGATCTTCGACAAGCTTCACATTTTCAACATTCTTAGGCGTTTCGATAGGCTTTAGTTGTGATATTGAGGCTTCTTTTGCAGCCTTCTTATTTCTCAAGTAACGCCTCCATTGTGTTCTACTCATCGGGTTTTCCCCTTATAGTTAGGAGAAACCGGATATCCTTTGGATTTCTCCTTTTTTTCCCTGAGCTGCAGCCTCTATATCAATTACTTTCCACTTTGGCCTCTTTCCCCCTTTTTGATTCACTGACTCCACCCATTTTTCTTGTGGGGTGCTTGACGGAGGACAAAAAGTTTTTGGTCGAAGTTGCTGGAATAACCTTCAGTATTCTTCATTATACTGAGAGATCCCCCTCTTGTCGAACATAAATCTTGGGAATAGAGGCTCTTATTCCTTAAGAGTTTTCTTATCAGCTTCATATTTTTCATCCACTTTTTTGTCATACAATGCATTGTATCTTGGGCAAACTATAGAAGAATCAATTTATGGAATTCGGTTTTATCTGTTATGAAGGCCAAATTATCACCTTGGCTGGGGAGATTGTTATCGATAGGTGGGAGGGTAGAACTGTTGAATACCGTTATTACTAATTTGCCACTATATTATATGTCATTTTTCAAAATTCCTACCAAAGTGGAATTTGATATTATTAGAATCCAGAGGAACTTCCTGTGGCATAATTCTGAGAAGGGGAAAGGAATTGATTGGATTGGTTGGAATTCCATATGTAAACATAAGAAGGATGAGGGTTTGGGGATCAAAGATGTGTCATTGTTTAATAAAACTCTCATGTCTAAATGGTTGTGGAGATTTCTTAATGAGGAAGATACAATTTGGAGTGGTATTTTGGAGGCGCGTTATGGGAACCTAAAGGACCGAATCCTATTCAAGAAAAAAGTTGGTATAAAATGTTATGAATCTTTATGGTGGAGACATTTGATGGAGCTTGGGGACTCAACCGAAGAGAATGATTTTACTCAGGTTATGTCTATCAAAATTGGGAATAGTGCCACTGCTCCTTTTTGGAACATGTGTTGGATCGGGTATAGAGCATTCATGTTCATCTTTCCAAGTTTATATCATTTTGTTAAAGATGCTAATAATAGTGTAAGAAATATGGGTTGTTGGGTGGGTAAGGTTTGGTTGTGGCAGGTTGAGGATAAATTTTCGATTCTGGGCCAGGAGGCCAGGACAGAACTGGTGGATTTGGTGGCAGCCTTGGAACATGTCGCTTTTTTTTGGGAAGATTGGGGATGTGATGGTTTGGACGCTCCAAGCTTATCATTGTTATTCGGTTTGTTCTTATTATGCCAAGATCGTACATGGTTCTGTGAGTGTTGTAGGGGATAATAGGATGAAGGAATTGTTATCCGTGATATGGAATGTGAAGGTTCCATCAAAGGTTAAAATATTTAGGTGAAGATTGATGCAAGATACGCTACCTTTGAAACTTTAATTGTTAAAAGAGGTATTCTTTTGAGTAATGAAGCTTCTCTGTGTGTGTTTGGTTGTGCCCAAGTTGAGGAAATTAATCACTTTTTCGTTAAGTGTTATTGTGCAAAGGTGGTGTGGCATAAGATTTTCATTTGGCTGGGTCTAGACTATGACGTGGAGAACAATTATTGTAATCATTTTATGCAAATGGTGAATGTGATGAAAACTTTCTATGATAATAATAGAGCGGGTGTAATTTGGTTGGCAGTTTATTGGTGTTTGTTGGAGACACCGTAATGATATTATTTTCAATAGCGGGGTGGCCGATCCGGACGAAGTTGTTCATAATGTAATTATGTTTTCTGTAACTTTTATGAATGGACTAAAAATCTTTTACTCTATATGTAATATTATGCTTGGCTGACTGTAATATTTATGTGTTTCGCTCTTTTGTATTTGGGTGTTAAATACCCCTTTGTACTTTCTCTGAATACAAAGTTGATTATCAAAAATAATTTTAACATAATTGATAATTCTTCTACGATTCATGAAAATCATACTTTTATGATCAATTGAGACATATAGTTTTTTTTATCAATCCTCAAGGTATAATCATAGAATAAAACTTAGATACATTTTTTGTAGGTGTGGTTATATTATTTTTCAATGAAAATATGATAAGTGTATAATTTACTCTTACACGTATGCAATTTTCTTCTATTTTTACTCCATAAATCATATTTAAGTACATTTGTCATATTTTTATTGAAAAATAGTAAGAACCACACTTAAAAAATTATATCTAAGTTTTATCCATAATCATAATGGGTAGAATTACAAATATATATTATGAAACAAAAAAATAATGTTACCTTCTAAATCTTAGAGCTTCGAATAAATGAAAGAACATATATTACTCTCGATAGTTAGAGCTTCATTATCAAATTATTTGTATCGCTTCTTAGACAATTAGTAAACAATTATATGGTAGACTTTCGTGTTGATAACATTCTATGAAATTAATAAGAATCAATGTAATAAAAAAATAGAGACGAATGAGAGAAAGAGAAATAGTATTGTATTATTCTCATTATTCGTGTTGATTTCATATATAATAATGGAAAATCAATATGAAATCTAATGATTGATGGACATATATAATCATGTCATTTATAACACTAAAGAATTTATAAAAAAATTAAAAACATATAAAACTAAGTAATATATATTTTATTAGAGACAATTAACAGCCAAACCAAAAGTCTTAAAAGAAAATTTCTTGAAACCAAAGTTTAGAGAAAAAAGTTAAAAAACTAAAATAGAAAATAGTTATAGAACACAAAAACATATTTAACTTTTAATATTAATATTTAGTAATAATATACAATATATTTGAGCTAGCTAATTAATTAATTATGTAGGCTTGTTTGATCAAAATCATGATCATCTAACGACATAAAAACTTGGTCTAACCATGAGACCTCAGATTCATTATCATCATCGCTATAACAACAACTTGCACCTTGTTGTGACATCTTCTTTTCATACACTTTGCATAAAACCCATTTGCTCCAACTCTCATCCTGCCTCACACAATCATAAAGTTAATACAAATTAATTGATTTATTTTCTCTCTCTTTATGAATAGATAATTAACAAGTTAAACACAATCACTTACATGAGATCCAAATTCAGAAACGTGATACTCTTCCATTACCCAACTTGTTTCACTTCCTTCGCCAAGATTGAACACAAAATACTTCTTTATTCCCCATTTATTTATAGGTTTTGTGACCCCAATTTCCTTCCAATATCCATGTTCAGTGCTTCTATTTTCCTTCTCTTCGGTAAAAAAGTAGTGTTGATTTCCACTTGATAATGCTTTACCTGTATATATGGTCATTTATATCTAGATATATAAGACATGCATGCTTAATTATTACCCGACTATTATGTTAAGAGGAAATCAAGTGTTGTAACCGGTTAATTCGGAGTGTAACTGTTTACAAGTCGGTGAAAAATGTTGGTGCAAGATAATGGAAGGAGAGATAAAGAATGAACAATGAATGATAACAAAGAGGACTACTTCTTATATTCAAATAGAGGAATGAATTTGGGATACAATATTGATAGCCTAGGTAGCATATTTATACTAAAAATTGAAAATGCCAAAACGCCCTAATAAAGAGTAAGTATTGGGAATTGTGGACATTAAATAAATTACATTTCTAATACCATCCCCTAATTTAGATAATCTATCAGAAACTAACAACACCAATTTCATCTCTTAAGCAAAGAAATTGATCTGTTTTAACTGCCTTCGTCAGAAGATCTGTAAGCTGTTTCTGAGTGCTACAGTGCAGAACTTCTAACACTCCTTTCTGAACTTGATTTCTGAGAAAGTGATACTTCGTCTCAATGTGCTTGCTTCTTCCATGTAACACTGGATTCTTGACAAGATCAATTGCAGACTTATTATCAATCATCAGCTTCAGAGGTTCCTCAACCTCAACCTTTAAATCATGCAGGAGATTCAGAAGCCAAACTGCTTGACAAGCAGCTACAGCACTTGCGATATACTCGGCTTCACATGTTGACAGAGCTACAACAGATTGTTTCTTGAAACTCCAGGAAATGGGACCTCCCAGAAATTTAAACAAGTATCCAGAGGTACTTCTCCTGTCCACTCTGTCTCCGCACCAGTCAAAATCAGAATAACTTACTAACTATGACTTTGTCTTTCTTTCAGAAGGAAACAGCACTCCATATTTCAGAGTTCCCTTAATATATCTCAGAATTCTGACAGCAGCTTGGAAATGAGACCACTTGGGATTACTCATGAATCTGCTGACCAATCCAACTGCATAACAAATGTCAGTTCTAGTATTACATAAATACCTTAGAGAGCCAACCAGTTGTTTGAAGGTTGTAGAATCAACAGAATCACCATCAGAGTCAGAATCCAATTTTTGATTGGTTTCTGATGGTGTCACAGCAACTTTGCAGTTCTGCAGCTTAAATCTCCTCAGAAGTTCTTGTTCATATTTTAACTGGTGCAGAATGATACCCTTCTTCGAGTACATAATCTCCATTCCTAAGAAATATGTCATTTTTTCTAGATTTGTCATCTCGAACTCATTCATCAGAACTTCCTTGAACTTCTTTATATCTTCTGGGCAGCTACCTGTTAGCAAGATGTCATCAACATAGAGACACACCAGAATCATATTGCTATCAGAGTGTTGTACATAAACTCCATATTCCATCTCACACTTCTGAAACCTCTGCTTCTTGAAAAATGAATCAATTTTCAGATTCCAAGCTCTAGGCGCTTGCTTCAGTCCATACAGAGCCTTATTTAACCTGTATATCATCCCTTCCTGATTCTTTTTCACAAATCCAGGAGGTTGTGACACGTAAACTTCTTCCTGTAATGGACCGTTCAGAAATGTTGACTTCACATCCAGGTGCATTAAAGGCCAGTTTCTGTTTGCAGCTAAGGCACTCACCAGTCTGATTGTTTCATGCCTAGCTACAGGTGCAAACACCTCAAAATAATCTAGCCCAGGTTTCTGAATAAAACCTCTAGCTACTAGTCTAGCTTTGTGCTTGCCAATGGAACCATCTGGCTTAAGTTTCAACTTAAAAACCCATCTGATGCGGATGGCTTTTTTCTTATCTGGAAGTTTAATCAATTTCTAAGTTTTGTTCCTTTCTATTGCCTCAAGTTCTTCTTTCATGGCATTAAGCCATTCTTTCTTCTTGAGAGATTCTTCAATGCCCACTGGTTCAGAATCTACTAACATGGCACACTGAACGACTTCTCCTTCAGAGTCAACGTCATTATCCTGCAGCATGTCAAAATCTGCAAACCTTCTGGGTTTTTATCTGATTCTCTGTGGTCTTTGAGCTTGTTCTGAAGCTGCACCAGAGCTACTACTTTCAGAGTTATCACCTTCAGAGTTTTCCCTTCCAGAACTATGATTACCACCAAATTCTGGATCATCATTAGTATCTGGATCATGTTCTTCTAACTTATCTTCAGAATCTTCAGGATCTTTAGAATCAGATTCATCTTCTGATCTTTCTAAAGCATCTTCAGAGGATAACTCTGGTGTTGGCACTACACCATAATCAGATTGAGATTTGTTCCAATCCCATGCTTCAGACTCTTTCACCACAACGTCTCTGCTGACTTCAACTTTATTAGTTTCTGGACAATAAAGCTTATACGCACCTGTACTGTGGTAACCCACCAGCAACATTATTTTTCTTCTATCATCCAGTTTTTGTCTTCTAGCTTCTGGAACGTGTTTGTAACAGACAGAGCCAAACACCTTCAGATGACTGACACGCTGCTTATCTCCAGTCCATTTCTCTAAAGGAACAGCTTCCTTCAGTTTCTTCGTTGGACACCTGTTCATAATGTATGCTGATGTGGCAACAGCTTCTCCCCATAGCACGTGAGGTAGCTTTTTTTCTTTCAGCATGCTTCTGGTCATATCAAGCAGAGTTTTGTTTCTTCTTTCAGCAAGACCGTTGTGCTGAGGAGTATATGGAGCAGTAACCTCATGTTCTATTCCACTTTCCTCACAAAACTTCTGAAACACTGTAGAGTTATACTCACCTCCACCATTTGTTCTCAGAATTTTTAACTTCTGACCACTCTGCTTCTCAGCCTTCACCTTGAATTTCTGAAACTCAGTAAACACTTCATGCTTGAACTTGATAAGTGTTACCCATGTCATTCTTGTGAACTCATCCACAAAGGACACAAAGTAATTGTTTCCTCCAAGTGAAGGTACTAGAAATGGTCCACACACATCAGAATGTACTACTCCCAGAGCATGTTTCGCTCTGGGGGCTACTTCTGATGTAAATGGTAATCTAGGTTGCTTACCTTTCATGCTTTGATACCAATTTGTTGGTGCAAGGTAATGGAAGGAGAGATAAAGAATGAACAATGAATGATAACAAAGAGGACTACTTCTTATATTCAAATAGAGGAATGAATTTGGGATACAATATTGATAGCCTAGGTAGCATATTTATACTAGAAATTGAAAATGCCAAAATGCCCTAATAAAGAGTAAGTATTGGGAATTGTGGACATTAAATAAATTACATTTCCAATAAAAAACACTTCTAAAAAGGGGAAAAACAATTTTGAAATTGACGTAGTCGGTTATGCATTCAAAGTAATTGATTAAATCTATTTGTATTTCCTTATTTTATGTTAACCGGTTACAGCCATGCAATGGAGAAATCAGAAAAATTATGAAAACTGGACAAAGTTTTAAAGACCACAAAATAAAAGACGAAGATGACTTCGTTCCTATTTCCTTCGCGAGCTCAAGCTATAGAATTGGATTGATCTAGGATTTCACTTTTCCCTCACTAACTAAGAGTTTCAATTTTGACTTATTTTTGCCATATTGTCGCGATCGAAAAAATCACAGATTCGCCATCATATTTTATTCATTCCTAAGAAACAGAGGAAATAACAGTAAAATCTTAGAGGTAATGATAAGACAGTCATTGCAATCGAATAAGAGTTCGAGAGTCAATTAAGTGCGGAAAAAGTGTTAGTCACCCCTCACCTCCCTTGTACTCAAGGGGAATCTTCTCTAAATTTAGGGTTAAGGTGTGTTTAATAATCATCTATTACACGCACAAGTGAAAGAGAGAGTATTCATTTTGACTTGGTTTTCAAATCTAAAACAAAAATCATCAATGATCCACTCCAACTCCTAGATCGAAAACCTCCAAATTTATAATCCTTATACCAAAAATTGATCTAAACTTGACCCTAAATCTTCATCCAACATCGATTCAGAAACAAAAAGTTAAAGATATGATAGTAATAATATTTATAATATAAATCTAGACTGATAAAAAATACAATAAACCTAATAAAAAATAATGTTAATAATAATAATAATATTAATTAATAATATAGAAATAATAATCCTAATATGATAATTGCTTTATAATAAAATAGTATAAAATGAGAAAATAAAATAAATAAAAGATGGCTAACAAATAGAGAAAAAGAAAAATGCATAAAAAAGAGAAATGTGAAACTTTAACTCAACCCTCCCAAATTTACATTTTTTACCCTCATTTTACTATCCATTAGGGTATTACACTCAATCATTATAAAATGATGCTTAAAAATATATGAAAGTAGGGAAATTTTGGGATATGAAACATACAAATTACCTCATTAGTCTGGACAGGGTGTCTAGAGTGGTTTGATCTTACGGTCAATGCAGTCACGGTTTTATGTTTTTTCTTGCTTTTGAGAGTGGTCGGATCTTAGAACCGCCCATACAGTCACATGTTTTTGTTTTTTCTTACTTTTAAATTGAGTATGTTTTGTGTTCCAATCACTGTATAATACTTGTATAAAGAGACATCCTCGTCATAAATAATACAAAGTTATCATTCTCACTCTCAATTATCTCTCTCTAATTCTCTTTCTCTCACTATATTTTTCTCTAAATACTCCATTATTTATTAATTATGTAATTGTATGTTTCAAACATATTATTATATTAAAGTAGGTGTTTAAATAGATTTTAGGATGAACATTACATAAAAGGGTTACATATAAAATTTATTTTAACATGTATATCGATAATATTTGAAAGGTATTCTATTCATAGAAGAGTTAGATGAGCTTGGCTTGTTAGCCTTATCTCCTGAAGTTTGGACGTGTGGAGTCATACGCATGTTAGTGTAGTTGGGAATTTGGCTCTCATCAGCTCTGTGTTCAATTCCATTTAAACCTTTTACTTGTTTTTTTTCTTTTTTTTGAGATACCATTAAAAGTTTGAAAAAGGATTAATAGGCTCTGAAGGAGATTCTTTGGGGGTTAGTGAGAGGTCTAAGATAAAGATGGGCTGAGAGTTAGAGACTTTTGTTTGGCTAACTTTACTTGGTTAGGTAAATGAATTTCAAGGTTAATCACATATGGGGTTGGGTTGTGAAAATATAACCATTTTTGTAACAAAAGAATTTGTATTTTTTTGAGCTACTATATTTTTATTTAGCAAAACACATATGGTCTATAAAGAAAAAAATTATAAAACAAAAATATCAAAAATTTTATCTATAGCAAATTAGAGAATATCGTTGGCTCATTTTGTTAGGGAGGTTTGGTTAACATCAAACCATTTAAGAATTCTAGTTCAAATTATGATAATTTTTGACAAAATATTATTTATTTTCAATTTTAAATTATTAAATTATTATCGGTGCACGAGGTTAATAAATGAAAAAAATATAGGAGAAAATATATTTACTGCAATGACGACTATAAAGTTTACAAAAGAAATTATTAAAAGGTTACAAATGACATGACAGTTACCACTAGTCTATTTATATACAAAGTAAATTGACATGTATATCCTAACAAAAGTAAACTTAATAACTAAATTAAAAGGTACAAACTAAGAAATACTAAATTTAACAGCTACGCTAACAAACTCATAACCCAGAACCTCATAAGCTAAGCATACTTCTGGGTGTAACCTCAGAAGCTTCTGCTTCTGACTAACAACAACTTCTTAATATATCAAACTACTGCTTCTAACTAAACAGTCTCAGAAGCTTATAACTTCTGACTAACAACCTCAGAAGCTCAATTGCTTCTGAGCAACAACATCTTCTGAATATGAATTACTTCTAACACTATCCCTTAATTCATATTCAGCTAACCAAAACTCTTCAACATCAATTCCATCCCTCAACCAGATAAAGTGTTCAGTCTTGACACTCTTCATCAGAACATCTGCAAGTTGCTTCTGGTTGCTACTATGCAACTTCTAATACTTCATTTAGAAGTGCAGATTTCTCCTTGAGAACCCATCTGACGCTGATGTTTTTCTTCTCCTTTTGAAGCTCAGTTAACTCTCAAGTCTTGTTTCTTTGTGGCCTCTGGACTTGTTCAAAAAAAATTCTGGACTTTCTTCAAAAGTCCGACTACCACCAGAAGCTCCACCTTTGTTAGCTCTTGGACTTTGTCCAAAACCACTACCATCAAAAGTTGGACCGCCTTCAGAAGCTCTGCCTTCAAAAGTTCCACTTTCAGAATCATGATCACCGTCAAAGGTTGGATTATCTTTAGAAACTCCTCCTTCAGAAGGTCCACCTTCAGAGAGAAGGTCCACCTTCAGAGACATGATTTCCACCAAAACATGATCATCTCGAGAAGTTTGTCCTCCAGAACCTACGTCTTCAAAGTTTTCCCTTCTAGAAGTATGATCACCACCAGATTCAAAATCTGGACCAGAATCAGATTCATCATCTAACTCATCTTTAGAGTCTCCAAAAGATTCTTCATCTTCTGACTCAAGCTCTTCTTCAGAACTTTCAAGTTCAGACTCATCTTCAGAACCTTCAGGTTCTGATTCATCTTCAGAAGTAGAACCTCCTTCAAATTCCGACTCATCTTTTGATTCTTCTTCAGACTCAAAATCACCTTCAGATTCTAACTTGTCTTCAACTACAGAGCCATCTTCTAACTCTGACTCATCTTCAGAAATCTCAGATTCTGACTCATCTTCAAAATCTTCAGTGTCATCTTCTGATTCTGACTCATATTCAAATACTCCTTCGGGGTCAGAATATTCAGAGTCATCTTCTTCCCCTTCAGAATCAGAAAATGGAAATTGCACTAGTTCCCCATTAGATTCATAAGTCCTCAATATCACAGGTTCATCACCTGAATCTCCTCTGACTATTTTTACTTCTTCTTTGTTTGACCAATAATATTTAGCAAAGTGGTCAAACCTATTACAACAGTAACATTGAACCATTCTCTTGCCATACTTCTCCTTTCCTTTCTGATGTTTCTTGTCATTAGAATATAATACTTATGACTTCTGAGACCTACCATATTTTCTTTGCTTCTGGTCCTTATTGACAAAAGAAGCTTTCAGAGTCTGCTAAACTTCCCTCTTAGAAGTTCTTTCAGTCAGACGCAACTCTTGTGCCTCTAGACTACTTTGCAACTCTTCTATTCTCATGGTGTCCAGATCTTTAGAATGTTCAATTTCTATAATAATGTAATTAAATTGAGAAATAAGTGACCTCAATATCTTCTTCATGATTACTTGTTTAGAAAAGGTTTCTCCACAAGCTTTCATCTCATTAATGATCTGAATCACTTTAGAGATGTACTCAGAAACCTTCTCATTGTTCTTCATGTTGAGATTCTCATATTGTTTTTGCAGGAACTGAAGCTTTACCTTCTTCACTAATGCATCACCATCGTAACATCTATTCAGTATGTCCCACGCAGCCTTCTTCGTCGTCGAATCAACAATTTTCTCAAACATGTTCTCATTCACACATTGATGGATGAAGAACAACGCCTTCTGATCTTTCTTCCTTGTATCTCTCTGCGTATTTTTTTGTTCCTCCGTCGCATCTGCTGCAACTGAAACATAACCATTTGTAACAAGCTCAAGAACATCCTGAGCACCAAACAACACACACATCTGAATCATCGAACGATTCTAGTTTTTGCCATTAAATACTGGAAGCTTGGTGCTTAGACTACCATTTCTGGTCATCTTCAACCTTGTACAGAACACTCAGATCTCACAAACACAGTGTTTCCCAATCCCACAAAATCAGAAAATGTAATTTTGTTTGTATTTTGTTCAAGATTCAACACGAATTCAAGAACCAAAAAATAAATCACACAACACCTCACCGTTTCATTCGTATTTTCCGTGAATCCAACCAGAGTTCTAGATACCAATTTGTTGGTGCACAAGGTTAATAAATGAAGGAAAAATAAGAGAGAATATATTTACTGCAATGACAGCTATAAAGCTTACAAAAGAAATTATTATAAGACTACAAATGACAGCTACCACTAGTCTATTTATACACAAAGTAAATTTCAACGTAGGCCCTAACAAAAGTAAACTTTATGACTAAATTAAAAGATACAAATTAGGAAATACTAAACTTAATAGATACGCTAACAAACTCAGAACTCAGAATCTCAGAAGTTAAGCATACTTTTGGGCGTAACCTCAAAAGCTTTTGCTTCTGACTAACAACAACTTCTTAATATATCAAACTAGTGCTTCTAACTAAACATTATCAAAAGCTTACAACTTCTGACTGACAACTTCAAAAACTCAACTACTTCTAAACAATAACATCTTTTGAATATGAATTACTTCCAACAATTATCATAATTATTTTCCTAAAAAATTAAAGTGTTTTAATATAAAAATGAAAAGTGAGACGTTATGAACTTATTTTTTTTAATAATGATATATATTTACGGATGTACATGCCTAACATATATCGCTTTGAGTGTATATAAGACATACTATTAATCAAGGTTCAAAAAAATCTACTATTAAATCATAATTAAGCAGGAATTCATAAGACCGAATATAAAATAAATAAAAAATACAGTAAAATCTCATAACATATTTGTCACTGTTAAACCATCGTTAAATAAGAATTCTATTTGTTTTATTTTAAAGTAAGACTAATGTCAAAAAAAAATTGAGACCGATAAATTTAAAATATCATTAGTGAAGAGATAGATATATATCTATTGGTAAGACATACCGTATAGTTGGCAAGGATGATGTTGAGAGAGGTGAAGTTGAGGTATGATGTTAGGATGATTCGGCAAAGAAGCTTTGGAATAAAGAAAATGAAGGACTAGTTCTTCATCCGTTGGAGAAAAGTAAAACCCTGGTGGAAGCTTCACACTACTTTCACTTCCCATGATTATTTTGTTATATAGTTTGACTATGCTATAAAATATATATGAATATGTGGTTCCTGAAAAATACCCTTCATCACAAACACCTTATATATAGTAATATTCGAAAGTTAAAGATTATGATTCAGAAAAAGAATTGAGTTGGCAGAAGAAAATCTGCGTTGCGTGGAATACCACTACAAGAAAGTATTTATTTATAATATGTAATAGTACTATAAAATAAATTTACGTTTCTTATTTAAAATTAAACTTTATATTTATTTATAATATGTAATAGTACTATATTGTATATAGTATTTATTAAAATCTTTTTGTTAATCGTATCAATGTTTTAAAATTATAACTACTTTGATTTCTTTTTTAGTTTAGTGATTAGAATTTTTTTTCCACTTTTAATTTGTTCTTAGAAGTAATCGAAGTTGTGTGATTAGAATTTAAATACATGTAGAGTTGCGGAGATATTTTTATAATTGAATGATAATTAAGTGTATACGTTTTATCTTTTTTTCTTCTTCTTCATGAATTTTTTTTTTCTACGTTATTCATACGAGTTCTTTTTTTCTTTTTTTTTTTTTTTTTGTGATTTACAAATATTTTTCACTTTTGTTATCTTTGTTTTTTATACGCTTTCTTTTTTATCGTTCTATTTCGTATTACAAAGAGTTTTCACTTTACATAATTTTTTGTTTTTTTTATGTTATCTCAATTTTATATGGCGTTTTTTGATTTGTAGGGTTCATAAATGGTTCGTGTTGTTATGGAAAAACAACACAAGAAGACGTCTTTATTTGATCCATGAATTTTTTCAATAAAAAATACATTTGAGTCCATATTTTATGAGTTGGTATGTTGCATTGTTGTATGTTATTCTGATTTTGTTAATAAATATTGATAAATATTGTTGTACGTTGATGTTGATGAATGTTTCTCATAACAAGAACAAAGTATTCTGAAGTCACAAAGAACGAGTGTTGTTCACAAATGATTTGTGTTGATATGGACAAAAAAATACAAGAAATTTTTTTTTTTTTTCATAGCAACACAAAATTGTTGGAAATCTACCAATACTCTATGATGAATTTCGACCACCACTGATGATTAGTTATGAGACAAACAAAGAAAAGACAATAGAGATATTTCTGCAGAGTTTCTCTCTGCCCACAAACTGTGGAAATTTTATTATTCACTTTGCAACTGCAAAATACTGTGAATGACTTGATTACAAAATAGGGGTTACTTCCTCTATTTATAGATTTAGGTTAGCTTGCTCCCTAAGCTAAAACCCAAGCCCAAAATATCTTTTTACTAAATCAAATCTAATCAAATCTATTCTAGACTTAAATTCAAATCTATTTAAATCTAAAACAAAATCAAATCTAATTTTGACACATATGAATTACAATTTAACACACCACTTAATTCATTGTGTCTAAACTGTCTATGTTCATCATGGCCCTTAGCTTTCTGAATACTTCGACTTGCACTCCCTTTGTCATGATGTTTGTAATCTGATTCTCAGTTCTGCAGTGTTCCAAATTCATCTTCCCATCTGCTACCTGCTCTCGAAGATAATGAAACCTCATTTCGATGTGCTTACTTCGACCATGTGCTATTGGGTTCTTCGCCAGATTAATAGCTGACATGCTGTCTATCTTCATGGTAATTGCTCCATGATTTTTCCCTGTTATCTCTTCGACCAAGCTCATCATCCAAGTTGCTTGACATGCACAAAGAGAAGCAGCTATGTATTCTGCTTCACATGATGATAATGCCACTACTGGTTCCTTTCTTGAATTCCAAGCAATTGGTGCACCACCTAGCATAAACACATATCCTGCTGTTGACTTTCGATCTTCAGCATCACTACACCAACTCGAATCAGTGTATCCCACTAACTTGCATTCTTTTCCTTTATCAACTGCAGGAAATAAAATGCCATAATCGAAAGTTCCTTTGAGATACCTTAGTATCCTCTTCATTGCTACTAGATGTGATACCTTTTGCTTCTGCATGAATCTACTTACCATACCTACACTGTATGCTAAGTCAGGCCTTGTATGACAAAGGTATCTCAATGATCCAATAAGTCTTCTGTATTGGGTTGGATCAACATCATCTTCATCTGCATCTTTCGACAGTTGCAGTCTTGGTTCTGCAGGTGTCGAAGTTGAGTTGCATTCTTCCATCTCAAACGTCTTGAGAATTTCTCCTGCATATCTTCTTTGATGCATCATCAAACCTCTACTGCTCTTGTAGAATTCGATACCAAGGAAATATGAAATCTCACCCAAATCAGACATTTAGAATTCCTTGCTGAGATCACCTTTGAAGTCTTCGATCTCACTCTTGCAGCTACCTGTTATCAACAAATCATCTACATAGAGACATAGTATAAGCAATTTACTCTTGTTTCTTCTTACATATACTCCATGTTCAGTTATGCACTTCACAAATTCCTTCTCCCTTAGGAAACTATCAATTTTCTTATTCCAAGCCCTTGGAGCTTGTTTCAATCCATACAGGGTTTTATGTAGCATGTACACCTTTCTTTCTTCGTCATGTTTCACAAACTCAACTGGTTGTTTAACATAGACTTCTTCATCTAAGGGTCCATTTAGGAATGCACACTTCACGTCCATCTGACATATGTGTCAACTGTTGATTTCTGCTAGACCAACAACCAGCCTGATTGTTTCGATCCTAGCAACAGGTGCAAAGAATTCGTCGAAGTCTATTCCTTCTTTCTGTAGAAATCCTTTCGCCATAAGTCTTGCTTTGTGTCGAGTTACTTCACCTTTCGAATTCGTCTTCACTTTGTATACCCACTTGACATCAATTTCCTTCTTGCCTTGAGGCAATTCGACAAGTGACCAAGTGTTGTTGTCTTCGATAGATTTTACTTCTTCATTCATTGCTTTCACCCACTTCGAATCCTTTAATGCTTCAGTTTCATTAACAGGTTCGACATCTGCATAAAAAGCATAATGTACCAGCTCACCTTCATCATCTATTACATCATCTGATGTAATCACACAATCTTGTAATCTTGCAGGCATGCGTCTTGTTCTTTGAGGCCTGCTTGTACTTGGTATATCTGCTGGTTCCTCTTGTCGAACTTCTCTTTTGACTTGAGTTTCTGGCTCTTCGAATAAGATTCCCACTGAATCTTTCTTGACATTTGCAGTCCAATCCCATTCTTTAAACTCATCTATGATCACGTCCCTGCTGATCACAATCTTCTTGTTCTCTGGATCGAACAACTTGTAGCCTCCTGTCGAATGATATCCAACTAGGATCATTTGACTTGACTTGTCATTAAGTTTTCTTCTCAACTGATTTGGCACATGTCTATGTGCAATAGATCCAAATACCTTCAGATGGCTTAAGCTAGGCTTCACACCAGACCAACATTCTTCTGGAGTAATTCCTTCTAGCTTCTTTGTAGGACATCTGTTGAAAATATAAGTTGCAGTCGAAACAGCTTCACCCCAGAACTCTTTAGGTAAATTCTTGCCTTTCAACATACTTCTCACCATATTCATGATGGTTCGATTTTTCCTTTCTGCAATTCCATTTTGCTGTGGAGTATAGGGTGGCACCACCTCATGCACAATCCCTTCCTTTTCACATAATCTGTCGAATTCTTTCGAAACATATTCTCCACCACCATCAGTTCTCAAAACTTTGAGCTTTCGACCACTTTGCCTTTCGACCATGGACTTAAACTTGGTAAATACTTCGATCACTTCACTTTTCTTGTTGATCAGGTAAGTCCATAGCTTTCGACTGAAATCATCTATGAATGTAACAAAGTATTTGTTACCTCCCATCGAATCCACCTGGATTGGTCCACATACATCAGAGTATATGACTTCGAGACTAGCCTTCAATCTGCTTCCTGCATCCTTGCTGAAGCTATTCTTGTGTTGCTTCGCCTGCACACATTCTTCACATACTTCGTTTGGAATGTCAATTTCAGGCAATCCTGAAACCATATTTCTTCTCTTCAAATCTCTGATGTCTCTGAAGTTGAGATGACCTAGTCTATAATGCCATATCCATTCATCTCTGCTAGCTGCAGTCGAAAGGCACTTGTGCTCCATCACATTTAGTTCAATCTTGAAAGTTCGATTCTGAGACATAGGAGCCTTCAAGATTACTCTCCCATTTGCATCAACAACACTCATCAACTTATCTTCGATTGACACTTTATAATTCTTTTCGACCAACTGCTCTATACTGAGCAAATTGCTCTTCATGCCTGGTATGTACAATACATTCAAAATTACTAACTTCTTGCCATCTTTCCTCATGATCATAACATCACCAATACCTCCAGTTGCTAGGGTGTTGTCATTTGCAAATTTTACCATATTTTTCGTTGAGGGTTTTATATTGACGAACCAGTCTTTCCTTCCAGACATATGTGATGAACATCCTGAATCCAAGTACCATTGATCCTTGAATCTATCTTCATCTTTTGTTGTGACCATCAACATCATCTCTTATTCTTCTTCATGTTTTGCAAGCTTTGCATCACTTTCTTGATTCTTTCATTTTTCTGGACAATCACTCGAATAGTGTCCATATTTCTGACAATTGTAACATTGAATGTGACTTTTATCAGGTTTTCGACCACCACCTCTTCCTCTGTTTGCAGCACCACCTCTTTGGTTGCCTTGGTGTGGTCTTCTTTGATTCGACACGTCTCCTTTGATTTGGTTTCCTCTACCATTCGATTTGTTGTAGTCACCTCTACTTCTGTCGAAATACTTTCCTTTGCCTTTGGTCTCTTTTGCTGAATGTGCCTATAAGGCCACATCACTCTTCGATTTTCCTGCAACTCTTTCGTTCATTCTTTGTTCATGAGATTCGAGCGTCCCTTGAAGCTCTTCCTTTGTCAATTTCGACAAGTATTTCCCCTCTTCGATTGCCACCACTATATGGTCGAACTTAGGAGCTAAAGATCTCAAGATCTTCGAAACAACAGCTCTTGTTGTTAA